CACATACAAACACACATATATGTATATATTTTACCCTGTCACCCGTTGTATCTTCTCTTACAGCAACATATTAATTATTGCAGAAATAAAACAAACAAAAAAACGAGGCACCAAGACACTGAAAACAAAGATATAACGCAACGCCAAACAAAATAATAATGATAAATAAATAAATAAATAAATAATAAAACAAAGAAGCACAAACCAGGAAAGAAACCAGACATTAAGCCAAACACAGATTTCACAGAAAGACAAACAACAGAAACCTTACTAAGGCATTCCTCGCAGAAGGTGTGGCCGCAGCTGGAGAAGATAAGCGGACGACGATCGTGCGCGTTGTAGGTCGACCTGCAGACTGCACAGGTTAGCCCTGAGGGAGCCTGCAAAACACGGTGTCCTGTATATTAGCCAACAGTTTCTGACTGGTCTCATTTCGCTCTGTTAATTAACTGTTTCTCTTTCTATACTTTACATACTTCCATATTCATAATACACACACACGCACACACATACACACTCATATATATATATATATATATATATATATATATATATATATATATATATATATATATGAGCTACTGGACAGAAAGTGGTTGTGACCGATATAATTATCATTATCCTTTCGACGACCTGATAACGTGCTGCGCAATAAGTTATGGCCCTGCAATACATCCCCACGAGCGGCTGGACCATCGATTATTATCAAGGGGGCGGGGGAGGCCCAAGAACGTGGCGTCACCAAGCAAACGTCGCAACTGAACCGGCTGGGATAATGTGTGTAATAATCTATAGCGCTGCCAGTCTGGAAACATGACGCGGCTCGCCTATTAACGCGGTAGACTGGCTGGGCGCCACAGGTAGGTCAATCTGCCAGGGGGAACTGCAGCCGAAAGGAGTCTCCGCAAGACGAGGCCTCTGGGGGTGATCTTCGTGCGTTTCCAAAAGGTGGGAAGCTACGGACGTGCCCGACCTCGGCTCATCCTCAATGCGACCGCGCCGTATTAAGGATGAGCCCAAAGGGGCGAGGCCCTTGAGGCGGAGTCGACGATCGTTGATGGCCCTTGCCTCTGTCGGGTGGAGCTCGCATGCAGTTATCAGAGCGCCTTAAGTCGCCTCATATTTCGTCTGATTTTGTGCGTTTCAGGCGAGGGTCTTTTAATACATGCCGTGAACTTTATACTGGCAGTTCTCCATTAACGAAAGGACATTCATGTTGGTTCACGACTAGAGAGTGATTGACAGCGACAGTACATTCTCAGTCATTACAGTATAATGGAGGGACATACTGTCGCGACTTTCGATGTCATGAGCTTGTGAAAAGCTTTTTCCCAAATGGTTCGATGCAGGACAAGGTCAAAATGGTCTTAAAAGTCTCTTTTATAGGATTATTATGCCAATAAAGAAGGCGCTTCGGACTGAAGGCAGGCAGGCAGGCAGGTGACAGGCGGTTGGATTAGTAACTAACACTTTTTTGCTGTTTCGCGGTAAGAAGTCCGGGACATTATCTTATCTACGCCATTGAATGAGCTGGTCGTGAAGGGTTGTAAAACTAACTGTCATGGCATTACTGAGTTCTAAGGATTTTAGTTTTCTACTGCTTTAATGTTGAATACTTTTTTTATCAAATAGCAATTTGAAGTTTATAATTCTTCATTAGTACCTAAAAGGAAAAGAAACATAAGTATAGGCCGTCGATGGCTCAGGACAGTTACAGTAGTGGGAATTCATTCTCTTCAGAAGCACTGAAAAAGACATTTTTGTTGTATTTCTTCCTTTTGTGAGAAAAATATGCCAAAGATAAAACGATAGAGTAAGTGTACTATTCAAATTCTGTTTTTCAAGCGACGAATGCCTCCCAAAAAAGATTAAAGGAGATATTTGCATATCGTTACAGATTTATCTCTCCGCCATCTGCATTGACTTTTTTCCAATAATAAAAAAAAAACATTACGTACAACCATGCTATTGCTACTTTTATTTACCTGCAAAGATGCAAACCATATGGAGGCTGCTGTAAATGTTTCTAAATGTTCATTACATGGTCTTCAGAACTGTCCTAATAATGCTGATCTGATAAATAAAAAAAAACTCGAAAAAAGTTTCTATTAATGTGCATGTATTGTACATACATTACATGTGCCTGTTTGTTTCTTGAACTGTACTTGTTTTATTACATATAATGTATATCCATACCTATGAACCAACGCAAAAAAAAAAAAGAAAAGAAAAAAAGGAAGGAACTATAGGAACAAAGAGACACAGAAAACGCCTCCTCGCCTCGTTCACACGGACGCCAGAGTCCTGGCGGAGGCCTCCTTGACCCAAAACGTCGCGAATGCTCTCTTGCAGATCTGGCCAAGGCCTTGAAGACAGGCTGTTTAGCACTAT